TTTATATATCTCCTCCAATGCCATGAGCCTCTACTTTTCGTATTAGTCGTTCGTGGGGGACTCTGTCAAAGGCTTTGTTAAAGTCGAGATTTACCACATCATAATCGTGCCCGTCGTCCACTGATTCGAAAGCAGTTGAAAAAAAAGTTAATAGATTAGTCAGACATGAACGCTCGCTTGTGAAGCCATGTTGGAGACCAATGAGCCTCTCAATACTGACAGACCGTCAAAAGTTCACCTCACTCTCAGGCCAGTCAATATACCTAACGGGGGTTCGAATCTCTTTCAGTGTAAGGCTCTGTAAGACATCAAGAGTGACGTTACTCCAATCGGATTTAGTGCCGTTAATGCTCACTCGCTGTTTCCTGTCCTGTAACCACGCACTAATCTATTTTTAAATATCTCCTCCAATGCCATGAGCCTATACTTTTCGTATTAGTCGTTCGTGGGGGACTCTGTCAAAGGCTTTGTTAAAGTCGAGATTTACCACATCATAATTGTGCCCGTCGTCCACTGATTCGAAAGCAGTTGAAAAAAAAGTTAATAGATTAGTCAGACATGAACGCTCGCTTGTGAAGCCATGTTGGAGACCAATGAGCCTCTCAATACTGACAGACCGTCAAAAGTTCACCTCACTCTCAGGCCAGTCAATATACCTAACGGGGGTTCGAATCTCTTTCAGTGTAAGGCTCTGTAAGACATCAAGAGCACACAACACACACACACACACTCTGTAAAAACAAGTTGTGGAAATCAAATATTTTTTCATCGTCGTCATCAATTTTTTGGGCGTTAGATGAAATATTAAATTGTTTATGAGGCATTGTTTATTTCGATGTGTATAGTCTCTCTCTCTCTCTCTCTCTCTCTCTCTCTCTCTCTCTCTCTCTCTCTCTCTCTCTCTCTCTCTCTCTCTCTCTCTCTCTCTCTCTCTCTTTCTGTTTACATATATATATATATATATATATATATATATATATATATATATATATATATATATATATATATATATATATATATATATATATATATATATATATATATATATATATATATATATATATATATATATATATATATATATATATATATATATATATATATATATATATATATGAGTTGTTTTATATTAGTGCTGGTTTAGTTGAGTATTATATATTCACTGCTGCTCTAGCTGTATCATATGTATTGCGTTGTAAGGTGGTTTATGGTTTATATACTGTGCACATATTAGTTGTTTATGAAGGATGGAAAACCAAGTGCAGTTTAACTTTGTAAAGAGTCATTGCCTACAATGTTTTGTCCTATTCTAAATATTTTCAAAGTCCGTTCATTATGTAAGGTGCACATTTATTCTGGTAAACTTTTTTTATTAAATTTTATTTAAATCTTTCGTGACGTGTATAATTCCAAACCTTCACTCCTGAACTGGTGTGATACAGTAAGAGGCTGTGATTGAACCCATCACGTACTATTTCGTCCTTATTTGTGTTTGAAACTTTTGCATTTAACATTGTTTGTCGTGTATTGAAGTAACATTAATTTTAAGTGATAAATATTAAGGAGTAAGTTGTGCTGAGTTGCTAATTTGTTTGTTTTTGGTTGTTGTGCCATATGTGCCCTCATTATTATATTCCTCTTAAACGTAATTCAAGTTGCTAAGTTATGGCATAACAATTGGACGTTTTATATACTATACACCCCACAGGTTTCATCACCTTTCCACCAAACCTGTCATGTGTTGTAACTCTGAAACTATTGAGAATTGGCAGTTTGGTAATTTAGTCATTAATCTTTATGTATGTCTCAGGAATACACCGCCTAATTTATGAAAAGTATTTACGGAACACCCTGTATATACACACTATCGCTTCCTCTTTCCCTACGTTTCCAATCCAATTTCATCTCAATAATCATTTTCCCTTTCCTTTGTAATCATGTTAGCATTGTCTTCTCTCTCCCTTCTAATTACAGTTCCTCTGGTATTGTGATGAGCCACAAATTGAACTATCTACGATTAACACATTTTTATCTCATTCACGTTACAGAAAGGTACTGTATAAATATATATAATATGCACTAAATTACCCTTTATATGGTTCTCAATAAATATATTTGAAAATATTGAATAAATTCTACTCTGATGGGCCATTATAAACACATATATTATCGTCTTCCATCTGTCTGTCTGTCTGTAAAATGAACAGGAAAAAAATGAATAAATCTGAGGTAAATAGGTGAGCAAAAAGCCTGGGGCTACTGTACACACTTAACTCAAGCATTCAAGTATTAACCACTGTAGAATGACTGTCAAGGTGCAAGAATAACTTAAAGTTGAAGAATAACTCAATGTTCAATAATAACTCAAGGTTGAGAATAACCCTCAAGGTTCTGTTGAGTATTATAGTTGTTACAGTGGAGCATTTCGGGTGAAGACAGTGTTAAGACGAGAGCAGCAGTAAGGTTCATCGACTCCAGAGCCTGACATAGCACATAACCTCCTTTACGACCTCGTAAGATCACTCTCTGGGGATTGACCATCTTTTATCTTTTTTCAGTAATGAGATATTGACGGAAGGTCTGGCCAGTTCTGCTCAGTTGTATTAACATGAGACACATCAGTGAAGTCAAGTAACTTATTTCATGGTTTAATCATTAGCCGCTTCAAGCCACACATGACAAAATATCCCTCAAGGCGCTAAGACCATACATCAGTGAGGTCCGGAAAGGCGATTCTTTGATGTTAAATGCTCTTGTGTTTATGTTGATCTAGAAAGAAAGAAAGAAAGAAAGAGAGGGAGAGAGAGAGAGAGAAAGCAAGAAATAAAGAAAGACTATATTTATTTATTTTTTGCGTACCAGAATTTTATAAAACCATTCGGTTCAGTTTTTTAATATTACTCCACAGACGAATAATTAATTATAGTTAAGAGTTGCGTTTACTTTACATTATCATATTACTATAAACCCTCCAGATAATTATAAGAGTAACTATTTCCATATTCCGTTCTCCATGTTCAAAACATTTTCATTGAACTAAAAAAGAAAACAAATCATATCCAAGTTTTCATTAATATATGTTCGTAGACGTTGTTGTTCTTAGCAGTAGTATAGTTGTTCTCACTGAGGTCGTTATGTTTATATGTATTGGTACATTTTAGTATTTATCTGAACCCTGGAATACAATCTTTACGTTCACAAAGTAGAGCCTCGGTCTTTATACTTGTATGTGCAGCAGTCCACACCTCACCACCACCACCACCACCACCACTACCACCACCACCACTACCACCACCACCACTACCACCACCACCGACACTACCACCACCACCACCACCACTACCACCACCACCGACACTACCACCACCACCACCACCATCATCACTACCTTGCTTGCTTGCTTATGGCAGTCCATCGAAGTTGACGACGTTGCTCCAGATGAGATGATTGATGAGTTGTGTTATTCCTCTGATGCCACCGTAGATGACTATGGAGTCCAATCCTGGAGGTGCAGATCTTGTTGCATAGGTGACAGGGATGTTGATCATTGAGAGGAATTATGCCTTGAGCCCTCTGGTGTCGTTGGGCTCGTTTAGTAACTCTCTTTTGGTTCAGTGAGGTCTCAAGTGTTTCCGCTCCTCTATGGCATGTTGAACGCCATAAGGAACGGTCTGAGGCCAGTTGCTCCAGTGAATTTGGTTGTATATTACAGCACTTGAGAAGAGTTTTAGAGTGGTCCGTATTTCTCATTTTCTGTCCTCCCGTCGAGCGGTTTCCATGTGAGAGCTTGCCATAAAATGTTTGCCGGTGGTCTGGCATCCTGATAACATGTCCAAGCCAGCGCAAGTGTCTTTTGGCTAGCATGGTTTCAATGCTGGTCGTGTTTGAGCGACGATATAGTTCTTTGTGAGTCACTCTATTTTCCCGGGATATTCCAAAGATACGCTTAAGGCAACTAGTGTGGAAATTTTCCAGCATTTGGATATGGCGTCTGTAAGGCGTCCAGGTTTCTGAGGCATATATAATGTAGATATACAGACCACTAGATAAACTGCAGTCTTCGTTCCATATTTGAGGTCATTGTTGAGAAAGACTCTTGTTCTCAAACGTCCAAATGCAGCTGAGGCTAAATTGATTCTGGTGTGAATTTCCATATCCAGTGAGCAGGTGGGTGTGAGAGTGCTACCAAGGTACTTAAATTAGTTTACTGTTTTGAGAGGATCTCCATTAATGTAGAATTGTGGTGCTTCTATTGGTGGAACAATGGACTGGACAAAAATCTCAGTCTTCTGGGTGTTAATTTGCAAACCAAGCAAGCTTTAAATACCTGATATCACGTCCAGTGCACGTTGCATAGATTCTCTGTTATGCGTCATTATTACACAGTCATCTGCATACTGTAGTTCTATGGCCTGAGTTGTTAAGGTCTTTGTGTAGGCTTCCAGACGTCTAATATTAAAAAGGTTACCGTCAAGACGGTACCGTATACCCACACCTGCATCAGGCCCAAGGGCATTGTGTGAGAGTTGTGCTTCAGCCAGCAAAAAGATGTTAAACAACACAGGTGACAGCACACAGCCCTGTTTTACGCCCATTTGGACACTAAATGGTTCTGACTGCACACCACCCACAAGTACCCTGGCTTGCATTCCATCATGCGTCTGGAGGAGGATGTTTAAAAATCTTGGTGGTACACCGACCCTCTCCAACATAGTCCACAAAAGTTCTTTGTTTACTGTGTCGAAAGCTTTGGAGAGGTCAATGAAGACGGTGTAAAGGTCTACATTTTGCTCTCGATTCTTTTTTGAATTTGCCTAGCTGCGAAGATCATGTCTATTGTACTGCGATCCTTCCTGAATCCACATTGGGATTCAGGAAGAGTGTTCTCCTTCAGGTGTTGGATAAGTCTTGATATCATGATTTTTGACAGGATCTTGCCAGCAGCTACAAGGAGGGAGATGCCCCTGCTGTTACCACAGATTGCTTTGTCACCTTTATTCTTATACAGTGTTATGATATTTGCATCTTTCCAATTCTGGGGGGATGGTCTCTGTGGCCCATATGGTGAGTAAGAGGCTATGGAGGCGCTCAGTCAGGTGGGGACCTCCATGTTTGTAGATTTCAGCAGGAATGCCGTCAGGTCCAGCGCTCTTGTTGCTGAGCCCCCGTATTGCAGTTTCCACTTCTCGTAGGAGTGGGGCTTCCTCCAGGAGGTGCAGGGTCGGAATGGGTGGGATGTTATCCAGTGCTGTAGGTCTTATTGGATTAATTTGATTTAGAAGTGTGCTGAAGTGCTCAGCCCAACTTACTGCAATCATTTGATTGATTTTGTAGAGTGTGGGGCCATCTAAAGATCTTACTGGTGTGACATTCCTTCTTTGTGGGCCATAAATGGACTTAACTGCCTCATAGAAGCCGTGAGTGTTATGGACATCAGCAAATGCTTGAATTTCTTGTGCTTTTTTTACCCACCAGTCATTTGCCATGCTGCGTAACAGTCTTTGAGTTTCTGACCTGATGTTGGTTAACCGGTCCCTTAATGTTTGTGATTGAGGATTTAATAGCACTACATGGTGGGTTAATTTTTTGGTTTTGGGAAGATCATGGAAGAGAGGTGAGTTCTCATCAAACCAGTCCTGATGTTGCTTTTAGAAAAGCCAAGTGTTTCCATTGCAGCTTCACTCACTGCAGTCTTCAACTCTTTCCAGCCATCTTCCACAGTGCCACGTTCCATAATTTCATGGGCTGGGAGTTTTTCAGTGATTTCTGAGGGTTTTGATGTTAAGTTTACGACTTGGGGCCTTGCCTCAGGTGTTGGGGTCGAATTATCATGCGAATCCTGGATCTTATTAGCCTATGGTCCGTGCCACAGTCTGCACCCCTCATGGCTCTTGTGATTTGCACCTCCTTTAGGTCATCTTGGCGACTAATAACATAGTCAAGGAGGTGCCAGTGGTTTGATTGAGGATGTTTCCATGAGGTCTTGTATTAGGTTTTCATGTGGAACCAGGTGTTAGTGATCGTAAGATTGTATTCTGAGCACAGTGTAAGGAGTCGGAGTCCGTTGTTGTTCATCTTCCCTACTCCATGCTTGCCCAGATACTTTGTCCCATGTTTCATAGTTTGAGCCAACTCTAGCATTGAAATACCCTTAAAGTAGAATTGTGTTAGTTGGTGGTACATCCGCAGGAGCAGTTTCCAGTATACTATAGAAGCGGTCTTTTGTTTCTTCATTAGCATCAAGGGTGGGTGCATAAGCGCTGAAGATGGTAACATAGCGACCTTTGACCAGGGGGATGCGCCGTGCCATGAGCCTTTCGTTTATTCCAGCAGGTGTCTCAGGGATGTTGCGAAGGAGTGATGTTTTGACAGCGAGACCTCCCCCATAGTCACGGCGTGTGTCTTCTGGGAGTCCCTCCAGAAAAGGGTGTAGCCCTCCCCCACTTCCGTCAGCGAGTCCTCCCCACTCAGTCGGGTTTCACTAAGAGCAGCAATATCTATGTTATATCTCTTGAGGTCATTAGCGACCAGGGCGGTTCTTCTCCTTGATCTTTCTATCTCCCCTCTGTCCAATAAGGTTCTGACATTCCAGGTTTATGGGTGCCAGGGCTTGTCCACACGCCGGTGGGCCTGCACACCGCACATCTGGGTTCTACTGTATTAGCCTGGGGTCGCTAGACACCTAGTTACCGTGTGATGCCACGAGGAGGCTCAGTAGGAGTCTTGGCAATGGAGACGCTGTGTACTGGCAGTAGAAGACTGACGCGGAGCTGCTTTCCCGTTCACCACAAGCACTAGCCAGCGGCAATAGATGAAAGCGAGAGATAACAAGCAGAGCAAGCACCTCAACATTATCTTAGTGCTACTACACTAGATGCATCACATTACCCTGTGTGTAAAACACACACACACACACACCATTACTACCACCATCATCACTACCATCATCACTACAACCACCACTGTCACCAATGCCATCCACAACCATCACTCTCACTACAACCGCCACTACCACCACCATCACCACCATGCTGCACTGCCTCCAAAACAACACTACCACATCTCGGGATGAATACATCTATGGTATATAACACAGGTTTGATTTGAAGTGTAAACAAAGGGAGGGTTGACGTGGGTTTGCTGTGTTAATCTGAAATGATGAACAAAGCGAGAACTAAACATCACACGAGCCACCCTCTCCCTTCCTTACTGCCATGATAGAGGTGTGGAGGCCATGATGGAGGTGTGGAGGCCATGATGGAGGTGTGGAGGCCATGATGGAGGTGTGGAGGCCATGATGGAGGTATGGAGGCCTAGGTAGTTAGGTTCCCCACATAAACACCCCAGAGAATATATCAGGTGAATGTCTTGACAGTATATTCCAGCCAGAGGAAGACCCACCACTCCTAAACACCTGACCACAACACCCGTATGTGTGTGTGTGTGTGTGTGTGTGTGTGTGTGTGTGTGTGTGTGTGTGTGTGTGTGTGTGTGTGTGTGTGTGTGTGTGTGTGCAATACTACTACTACTACTACTACTACTACTACTAATAATAATAATAATAATAATAATAATAATAATAATAAACGGTTTATTAATGGCGTTGCAGCCGGGGGCTGAAAATATACAGACTTACATTTGATTTAGACATAATGATATAATATGCATTGAATATATTTACAAGGCTATACAGAACATAAATCAGGAGTTGTTTATTATTTTAACAATAGATGGGATGGTGCTATTCTTATATCTATCTGTGTGGGCTCTTATGGGCTGAATTATGTTGTAGTGGCAGACTGCGCGAGGTGGGTGGGGGCTGCCGGTGGCAGGAGGTGGCGATGACGAGGGTGGTGCATTAGTTGGCTGCCAAACCCTTCCAGTGCTTGGTGGTGGAGGTCTCTGAGGGATGGCATTTCCAGGGTGGAGAGAGCGTTGGTGTAGCCGGAGTATTCTGCGCCGAGCATGATTCTGCAGGCCCTTTTCTGTACCTTCTCTAGCTGACGTTTTTGGGTGGAGTTGAGAGAAGACGACCAGGCTGGTGATGCATACGTTAGTTTGGGGAGAATAACGGCGTTGTAGATGGTCCTCAGCTCTGGCGTGGGTGTCCCAAGTGACCTAAGTCGTCGTAGCATGTAGAGACGGTACGAGGCTGCCTTGACTGTGATATTTACATGGGCCTTCCAGTCAAGTTTGTTGTCTATAGTAACACCCATGAGTTTGGCAGACTGCACCAGCTGGAGAGAATGGGCACCCACTGTGACTGCTGGGGCTTGCACTGGAGTGGTGGCGGTATTGAAGTGCATGATTACGGTTTTGGTGTGGTTGATGGTGACCTTGTTCTCCGTAGTCCATGCCTGTAGCCTGCCCAGGGTGCCTTGTAGCGATGAGTAGTCTGGTGCGGTGTTGTCCACTGAAACCCCCACAGTCCAGTCATCCACGTACTTCCACCTGTGAGGAGTGTCCGATAGAGCGTCGATGATCAGGATGAGGAAGCACAGTGGTGTGTGTGTGTGTGTGGTTACCAGTGAATGCCTTACGTTTATACTGTATATAAATACTTGATTAAAGATAAAATCATTTCTACATTAAACCTAAAAACCCTGGAAAACAAAATTCTTGTCAGGATGAGCAAACGAGTAGTAAAATCCCACCAAACTTAATTACGATCCTTAAACTGCAGTTTGAGAATGTGATTATCATCTTGGCAGAGTCTCAGGCCATCAAACAGGCATCCACCTCCAGCCACCGATATGAGTTAGGAACGAGAGACGTATTTGCCAAGGTGACTCTGGTTTTATGATTTTCAATTTAGACATAAATTTTCCATTTCTCCACATTGGGCATAATTTACAGTGTGTGTGTGAAGGTTAAGTTAGGCTACGTTAGCTTTCTTCCAAGTCGAAAACATTTCGTTTTTATAATGTTCTCCTGTCAGCTTTTATGCATCACGCGTTTTTTGTGAATATGAAGAAAACATGTCAAGAGAAGGGTGTGGTTATTAAGGGGTTGTGAAGCCCTTTCATTACCAGCACACCTGGACGTAACGTAACGTAACCTGACCTAACCAAACGTAACCTAACCTAACCTAACCTGTTCTAACCTAACCTAACCTAACCTAACCTAACCTAACTTAACTTAACCTAACCTAGCTTTAACCACCAAGTCGATAGCGTTCCGATTTATTAAACTGAACCATGATATAAAAAATCTTAAAATTAATTATGTGTTGATAGTAACTGGAATATACTAAGGTTCCCAGCAGCCACGTCCTCTTAGGGTGATATTTCCAGCCCGTTCATAAAGCCTCGATCGTCACTGTGTAATAAGTTATGATTGAGTTTACCAGTGAGGAAACAACGCTCGGAGATGGGGACTCAATTTAAATAGTAATTCATTCAATTTGCACACGCAGCCTCGCATAAAATTGTGACCCCCCCCCTCCCCTTCAATTGTTGGAGTCTCACAGTGAGTCTCCGTCGTCGCCTCGTGTGTGTGTGTGTGTGTGTGTGTGTGTGTGTGTTTCCAAGTCCCTCATCCAGCTAACAGAATCACTGGTGGAGCGTTTTGTACCCACCACCAACACCACTACTTCCTCCTCCACCACTACTTCCTCCTCCACCACTACTTCCTCCTCCACCTCTACTTCCTCCTCCACCTCTACTTCCTCCTCCACCACTACTTCTTCCTCCACCACCGCTGTATAGTTCAGCTCTCCGGGTCCCCAGATGACGAATTGTCAAGTAAGCTCATCGGACTCCTCGAGTTGGACGATGCCTTCCTGGAGTGTCGCTCACTCCAGGAATCAGCTGATCGAGCGGCCCTGCAATTGCTCTCAAGTCTGTGGGTGATGCAAGTGTCGCCAAGTTATATAAAACCTTCCCCATCAGCAAAATCTTTTAAACCTAAATGAAAAACACCTGTAGAACTGTTCCCTGAGTATAGAGACTTGGAAGTTTAATATGAGGGTTGTGCCTGTCTCTTGTCAAGTTAATGTTCGTTTTTCATGACCTGATTAATATGTTTATCGCGATAGATTCCTTTTTTTTCATTAACGCAATCCAATGACCAATTCTCGGCCACCCTTTGTTTTTCATTAAACATAAATTTTCCTTTCTCTCACCCTCTCCCCTTAAGCCGTGAAAACCCACAACTTCTCTCCCCCTTTTCCCCTCAAGGCAGCAATATCAATTCAGCGGATCACGCATCCTACAAGTTTCCCCTTTAGAGTCTGAAAAGGGATGATTTAGTGTTTCTTTTCATCTCTCGAGCGACTGATTTAAACTTTGGTTTCCTCTAGTGAAAGTTTTAATTGTGCCACTAAAAGACGATCTCCCCATACTCACTCTTGCAAGGGGTCTCGCCGGTCATGGACAGACAGGGAGGGAAGCGTGACCCTCTACATAACAGGTTGCTGCCCCTTCATGTCGTCTCCCATAGTCGTGTAGGGTTTTGGTTAACTTAGGTTAGATTAGGTTTCGTAAAG